CGGAGAGGGTCTTGAAACGCAGCCCGGGAGAGCTGCAGTGCAGGGGGCTCCCGCTGCGGATGCGCTCACACCTCGGGGAGCATCCCCCACACCTGCCAAGCCTGCGTCCCTGCTGCCTTTCGCAGGACAAACGGTTAGAGCCAGGTTTTGTGCCAGGGAGAGCTGCTACCTCCAGGTCCCCCTCCGCTGCAGTGCAGACCCCGCTGCTCACCACGATGCTCCCGATGCACCCAAAGGTGCCCCTGGGCAGCCCCGGTGCCTGTCACCATCCCTGCCTGCTCTGCTGAGCGTCCATGGGGTCCCTAAGGCCCCACACCTGCTGTGGACCCGCATCCGTGCCCCACAGCGGTGGCATCAGGGCTGCCCCCTCACTCCCCAGTGTCCCCTCCTCAGGGCCTGCAGTGCCCCTGGCTCAGGAAGGGGTTAATCTTCCCTGGATTTAAACCCAGTCCTGCTGTGTCGGAGCTTAGAGCCCTCTCCCTCGCCTTGTTCTTTTGATTTTCATGGGGACAAGGGGCTGTAAAGGGCTAAGGTAGGGGGGGTGGAACACCAGGCCCCCAAGTTCTCAAGGCCCTCAGGCCACCTCCACGTGTCCCTGGGGAGCACAACCCCAGGCAGATCCCTAGGGAGGCAGCAGCGCCCAGAAGGGTCAGGGACACCCTGCAGCCCCCAGGGACTGCCCCAAACCTGGGGTAGGGGAAACCTTGGCTTTGGGGACCCCCCATAGGCTCCCCTCACCTGCAGGGCAGAGGGAGGCCCAGCCCCTCACTGCTGCCTTGGGGACACCAAAGTGGGTCCCCCAGGTGCTCCTGCCCTTCCTCCTGCACCCACCTGAGCTCCTTTAGTCCCAACCTGGGTTTTATAGGGCTGGGGGCTGCTCCCCCCCAGCAGCCCAGGGCTGCGGAAAGTGTCTCACAAGTGAAGTCACTTATTCCTATTAACACAATCAAGAACATCCGCAGCTGTGAGGAGACAGCCCAAATCTTTGGCTGTGGAGGGTCTTTGAGTAGAGAAAGGCAGCGGCGTCCTGGAAAGAGAAGTTAATAACCAGTTGGGGCTTTTTGGATTGTTTTTAACACGCATAAAAATAAGTTTATTTTGGCTTTATGCACTTTGGGTATCAGACCCATCACGTGCGTGGTGTATGAATATTTTAGCTTCGCTATATATAACGCATAGGAAGAAGGTTTTCAAAACACACACTCTGCTTTAAGAAACGGAAAGCAAGGGATCGTCCTGAATCCCCTAAGTTATCCCGGGACAAAAACACACCCGTAGCCCCCATGGCTGCCCGGGCGCTGGTGCGGGTCACGCTGCGGGCTGGGGAGGGAGACGCTGCCACCCTGTTCCTTGAAAAAGGTGGGGAAAAAAAAACTCCAATTTTTTTGAGTGGTTTTAAATTTCCCCAGCTGTTTCCAAACCTCCTTCCCAGTTCGAGGAAGGTGCCTTTGCCCCCCCGCCCTCCCCCTTTCTTTCTCTTTTTTTTTTTTTTTTTTTTTTTTTTTAATATCGTAGCTATCCCTCCTTTTTAACATTTAAGAGGAAACAAGTTTAATATTCATGGCTGTTAATAGAGAAGGCCCATTATGGGCGCTCCATTGTTCTGAGCCCCGCACAATGCTGCTTGTATTTTCATGTGTATATTCCCAAAGTTCCTTCTGAGCGTTTAGTGAGCACTTTAATATTCATGGGTGTTAATAGAGAAGCCCTCAGTATATTGGCATATTGTTGGGAGGTGTACATATTGGTCTGACTTTGAATAGCCACAGTCCTCTTTTCTTTTGCTCTGTTTTGCAGGGTTGATGGGCCAGGAGTAAATGGGCATTTTCCCCCCCCGTCTCCCCCTTACAGAGAGAACATCTTTATTCCAGTCCCAGACTTTCTGGTTTCCCATTCAGAACCCTCAGAAATAATGTCAGGCAGAAGAAAAGTGGAGCAAATCAATCTTTCATGGTCTTTTTGAGACCAATTTGACATCCATGGACTCTTCTTTTCTTTCACAGCCTACAAGGGGATGGTCAGGATCTGGACAAGGTTGGGGTCTGATGAGGGGAGACATGGGATCATAATGCAGCAAAGAGAGAAAAGAAAAGCAAAACAAGAAAAGATTGCAGGGATGGGGTGATGGAGGAAAAATGAGGGTGAATGACAGTGCAAGAAAGGAGATTAGAGCCCAGCAGCTGCTTTTTGGGGGGTGGGGGCGAGGGGGGAGCTCTCGCCCCTCTTCCAGCCCTTCGCATGAATAGGATTTGAACAGAGCTGAGATTGATTTATAGTTATTGCAGTTGAACATTTATTGCTCTTAAAGAGTGGCGGGGAGAAAAGAGAGAAAAGGGGTTTGAAAAGCTCCTTTCTGTATTAAAGAGGTATCAAATGAAGACTGCTGAGATAATATACAGTGGCCAATGGGAATTTGATTTGCTTTAAAATTTAACTCTTTTGGGGCTGCAGCTGACGGGC